ATGAAGCTAATGATTCCCAGTTTGTGAGCGATTTTCTGACCTCTCTCTATGTGGATGACTTCAATGAGGGGAAAGACAGCGTCTCTGAAGCATTTGAGTTGTACAAAAAAAGCAAGATCAAGAATGAAGAATAAGAATGAAGCTGGATTCAATTTAAGGAAGTGGATGTCAAGTTCTAAGAGGCTGATGGAATGGATCGACGAAGAAGGAGGAGTACCAGTTGAAGAAGTGGTCAAGCTATCCGAAGAAGACATTACGTATGCACAGACTCAGTTTGGAGTTCAAGGTTGTTCAGAGACCGTTTCGAGCGAGAAGAAAATTCTTGGATTTAATTGGAACATTGAAAGAGACACGTTCGTTTTCCAATTTGACTGGTTGATGGAATTCGCTAGAGAATTACCCTTAAATCAGCGCACTGTACTTAAGTTTGTGGCCAAGTTGTACGAAATCATTTTCAGGATTAAGCTCTTAGCGTCACTCATACCATCCAGGTTGATTATACCCGAGTTCGTTCAGCCCTACTTCCGTTGATCAAGATTAATGAAATATTTTGCTGGACAGATTCCACTACGACTCTTCACTGGATCAAGGGGGCGGACAAAGAAAACAAGCAATTCGTTGAGAACAGAGTTGAAGAAATTCGTCAGAATGAGCCGCCCGAAGCCTGGAACCATTGCCTTGGAACTCAGAATCCCGCAGACTTGCCCTCCCGTGGTATGGGATCAGATGCATTGAAACAGTCACAATTATGGTGGCATGGTCCATTTGAGCTCGTGAAAGAAAGGAATATTTGGCCCTATGGTGGAAACTCCCACGAGCCTTCAAGTGCTTATTTTGAAGAAATGCGTCTAAAGGATAGAGGAAAACCTACCACTGGGCCTCTTGTAGACTCTTCGATGATATCGTTGACAAGTATCTTCGAACCTCAGAAGTACGATTAATTTAAGAAGCTGATGCAATTAACAGCGCTGGTGTTTAGAGCCGTGCAGAATTTCGAAACTGGAACACGTAATAAGGAACCGAGTAGCCCTTTGAGTACTGGAGAGTATGCCTACGCAGAAATTCTATGGATCCGCGAAATGCAACAGTCCGTAATTAAGTCACTGAAATTTAAAGAATTGAAACAACAGCTAGGATTGTACACAGATGAAAATGAGTTGCTCCGATGTAATGGAAGACTACAGAATGCTACGATTCCATTCAAGGCCAAGTTCCCAATTTCCTAACATCAGATCAGTACCTAACCGTTATTATGATTCAAGATTGCCACAAGCGAGTCCTTCATAACGGAGCGGGAGAAATTCTGGCAGAACTATGGTCTAGATTCTAGATTGTGAAAGGAAGACGAGTCGTTCGAAGTTTCTTTCAAAATGCGTGGATTGCAAGAAGATAGAGGGACAACATTATACCATCCCGACGACCGCGCCCCTGGCTCAATTTCGTGTGGAAGAGAATCCTGCCTTCACCAACACTGGAATCGATTTTTCTGGGCCGTTGTTTGTTAAGAGTGGCTATAAAGAGAATGGTAGTATGGAGAAAACCTGCATCGTGTTGAACACTTGTCGAAGTAGCAGAGCCGTTCATCTTGATATTGTACCTGAGACCTGAGCACGGAAACATTCATTAGAAGCTTTAAACGTTTCATCTGCAGACGAGGTATACCAAAGCTAGTTGTGTCAGATAACGCCCAAACCTTCAAAACTGCTGCTAAGTTCTTATCATCCATCTTTGAGTTACCAGAAGTTCAGAGTTTCCTTTTGAGTCACAAGATTAAGTGAGATTCAATTTGGAGTTAGTGCCGTGGTGAGGCGGTTTCTTCAAACGCATGATTTGTTGTATTAAACTTTTTCTCAAGAAAATTTTGAAGAACGCGTAATTGACGTATGACGAGCTTTTGACTGCTGTGGTGGAAGCGGAATGTGTACAGAACTCGAGACCACTCACATATGTATCCTCAGACGATACAGAGGAACCCCTTACGCCTTCTCATCTGTTGACAGGGAGGAGAGTTCTGTCCATCCCTGACGAATTTGCAACCGCTGAAGAAGATGAAACTGATGTCCAACTCCTCACCAGAAGGCGTTATTTTTCTAAATTGATCGGTCAATATTTGGAACCGTTGGAAACGTGAGTACGTGGTGGATCTAAGGGAGCACCAAAGGCCTGCTAATGAAGGTGCCAGCGTCGCACAATCAGTTGCACTAGCTGATATTGTCACCGTAATGGAAGAAGGGAAGTCAAATCGTAGTACTTGAAAACTTGGAAGGATTAAAGAGGTGCATCCTGGAAACGATGGAGCTACTGTGGAAGTTGCTTTAAGCAGTGGCAAAAGAAAATGTCCGACAAGACCCTTACAAAAATTGTTTCCGTTAGGAGTTCGAGAAGTTGTGGGCACGGAACAAGTTCCAGCAAGACCGGGAACAAACACTTTCAAAGGCGGAGGAGTAATACCGCCATCACAGGGGAAGTTAGAAGAGGAGAATTCGATCAGTTTCTTCAAGAACAAGAGGACTCCTTTTAAAGGAAAACTTATCGAGGGGGAAAGATGTAGAAAATCTCTTTCGTTTGGAAATTTTAAGTAGCAGTTTTTCTCTTCCTCTCCCCCATTTGTTCTCTTTTTGTATTCACAAATCAAATTAGCCAATCACATAAAAGAACTCTAACCTTGACATTGGAAAACTGACATGGACATGTTTCGCGTACTTTTAGTTTGTTTTTCGTGGAGATTTGGTTTGCTATTTTTGAGCTTTCGTTCACGTAAATTTGTCACTACTTTGTTTGGAATTTTAAGAAGTTTCGGAGTTTTTATTTTAATAAAATGTTGTGGTTCATTTAACAAGTAATTGGCTCTTACTTAATACACTTTTTCTTGGCTCTTTTTTCGTTCCATTTAAGTTCCATTTAGAGCATCATATGAGTTAAGCTTTCGCTTTACTAATCCTGATGATTATTATGATTTAAAAGAAAGCTTCAATTATGTCAGTTTTTTACGTATTTTTTTTCTCCTGTGTCAAGTTCGCTTAAATTATCTGATTATCTTTCTTGAAGATCAAACTGCATCTTTTTGTCCTCATCCTGAAGGAAACTGATCTGCTTAACCAACCTAGAGTTAACATCTACAAAGGGAAATAAAATAAATCATTCAAACTTTATGAACTGAAAGTGCTCCTGCAAATGGAAAAAACAAAAAAAAGAAACAAAAAAACAACTTTGTTAATAAATCAACCTTATCAGGTGTTATTGGCAATAAAACAAATAAATCAACTTTAAGAACAGATAACACTCTTTCAAGTGGTAAAAAAACCTGACAATTCCTTCATTTTTGCTTTGGCATTAACCGCCGCCTTGAGGACCAAATTTTTCACATGGAAAAAGACACTTTCTTCCATTTCAGCAATTTAGTCCTCAAGGCAAGTGTTATTCGTTAACAATTCGGATTTATCGGCTGAAAAATCTCATTAAAACAGATAATTACTCCTGCAAGTACCTAAAACGAAAAATAATGTCACCTGACAATTCCTTCACTTTTGCTTCGGCATTAGCCATTGTTTCTTCCATAACGAAAATTTTTTCCTCAAGGCAACTGTTTTCATTCAACAATTCTTTATTATCGGCTGAAAATGGCAACAAAAAAAAGTAAATCTAACTTTAAGAGCAGAAAACACGTTTTCAACTGGTAAAAAGCGAAAGAAATTGTTACCTGACTATTCCTTCATTTTTGCTTCGGCATTAGCCACCGCCTTGAAGACTAAATTGTTCACACGGAAAAAAACGGTTTCTTCCATCTCAGTAATTTGGTCCTCAAGGCAAGTGTTCTTCGTTAACAATTCTGTTTGTCTGGATTTTCTTTCTTTTTTTTTTTCGATGTACGCAATAATGATAAATTACCAGCTACCTTTGTTAAAAATCGTGTTTTGAATAATTTTGTGTTGCCAAGTATTAACCCGCTATGTTACACATACCTAGAGAAACCTTCAATCTTTCACTGATTTTGTCAACATCGTCTGCAGCTTTCTGCAGGCTCTTGTGATAATTCCGCGTATCAACCGTTAAGTTTTTTATGAGATCTTCATATTTGTTTAGCTGAGATGTAAGCTGTTTAATTTTTTTATCTTTCTCGCTGATTGTCTCCTTTGATGCAGAAAGAGTCGCTAAAATGAATAAAACATACGGGAATATTACAAAGCCATTTAGTAAGTAAGGCATTTAACAATTACTAGTAGTCAGGCACAGAATTTAAAAGCTCCTCAGAGATAATACAAACGTCACTCACATTGGAAATATCTCAGATTGCTTTCAGCCACATCCTTCGAGTTTTCATAAAAATTGTATATTTGATTAATCTCGTATTGCCAAAACTGAACCACATCTCCCCCAAATGAAAGCCAAGTCCAACAGAGAAAGTTTTGAAGTTGGCTAAAGATTTCTTCAATTTGTTCAATCATTTTTTATTTTCTCTTCCAGCTCAGTGAAATCTCTTTCAGTCGGCCACTCAAGAAGAGTTGACGGTTTATAATCATTCTTAATCTCGGTTTCTAGTGATTGTAAAAGCCTAGCTCATCAGAGATCAATTTTATCTCTATATTTCCATTTATTACCTCCTGCGCTGCGGGTGTAAACATGACTAGCTTATGAATATGGCAAAAATCAGGTGGAGTTCTAAACTTCTGGTACAAACAGATTACTGGAGAAGAGGAAAAGTTGTCTTCTTCGCCTGTAATGTGCTTGTACAAGAAATGAACGAGCATTCAGTTCATTGGATGTCCTTTCCAAAGCCAGTGTGTGAGTCAACGACAAACAAACAATTTAGAGCCGATTGAGGAATCAGTTGGCTCGTAATTGTGGGTGGGAAGATCGGGGAGGGATGGAACCGACTGTATCCCAGCCATTTTGTCATGTATCGTACATTGAACGTAAATAATTGCATAATATGTACGAACGGCTGACTTCAGTTTCAACCATGTGATTTTTTTTCAGAGTATTCTCAATGTGTTTACGGGTTATTGTTTGATCCTTTGTAACGTTTTTCTTGCTAATCTGCGGTAATCTACAAAATTGACTTTGTACATTAGACTTACCTTCACAACCCTTCATCCCTTCAGAGAGATTAGAAATGACCGCCCGAGCTTTGTCCAGTTCACTCTGGGAATTAGCTGCCATCTTTTTGAAAATATCTTTTTGTTTTGTATGACACTTTTCTCTGATTGACAGAGTCTCCCTCAAGTCTTTAATTTCAGTCTGGAGAGACTCGTTTTCCTTTCCTTGCTGGATGCGTAGATCATTCATTTTTTCACTTGATTCTTTCAGCTGATTTTCCAAGACAGAGTTCTTTTTTAGGAGTTCTTTCTCCCTCTCTAAAGTAATTTTAAAAGCTAAGCTCAGTAGTGGTGGATAATCGAATCGTTGTTAATCTTAGAGTATGGTCTTACATTGTCTAATATCAACCAAATTTATGGAGCTTCTCTAATAAGCTTTAGAAAGTTAGATAGTCAGTTATGAGCAATGAGCCAATAATCAAGTTACTAAGCGGTGACGTGTCACATGTCATACCAATCGGGGATGAGTCAATGTCAATTAGCATGGTCCTTTCCGGCTGGTCAGTCAAACCGTATGTCGGTCAGTCATTCAGTCATTCAGTCAGTCAATCAGTTGGTCGGTCGATCAGTCAGTCAGCCAGTCAGTTCGTGGGTCAGTCGGTCAGTCAGTCAGCCAGTCAGTAAGTCACTCGGTAAGTCGGTTAGTCAGCCAGTCAGTAAGTCAGCCAGTCAGTCAGCCAGTCAGTCAGTCAGTCAGTCGGTCAGTTAATTAGCCGGTCAGCCATTCAGTCAGTTATTCAGTCCGTTGACCAGTTAGTGAGTCAGTCGGCCGGTCAGTGAGTCATTCAGCCAGTCTGTCAGTTAGTTAGCCACTCAGCCAGCCAGTCAGTTAGTCAGTCAGCCAGTCAGTCAGTCATCTATTTGTTCGTACGTTAGTTGGATAGTTAATCAATGAGAAGGCCTATCAGGTTGACAGTCAACCCATGTGTCTTTCAATCAGCTATATACAATAACTCAGAAGGTCAATCAGTCGTATGCGACCTGTCAGACACCCAACTGATGTAGTCGGTCAGACTAGGTTTTTAAGCCTTTATTTACTTTCAAAGGATTTTCTCTTTTCATTTCTTGTATCTCCGTCCTTTGCATAATCTCCTTCGAACTTTCGAAGTTGCAGCTTTGAAAGTCTCTTATCGGCCAGGCTAAATTTTTAATCTTATTTAGACAGATCAGTTATAAAAATATTACCAGTACATCATTCACGAATACCTTGATGCGTTTGGGCCGGGATGTGACATAGCTTTCGAATATTTGATAACTATACTCCTTCCCCCGACTTTCTTTCCTTGTGAATTTGTAAAAAAGATATCTTCTCTTTGCAGAGAGCAATTACTTTTGATAAGTTCTAAGTCAATGGAGACAGGAGAAAAGGTAAGGGGGCGGGAAGGGGGTGCAAAAAAAACGACGAGGATTGCACTAAGAAATATGACGAACAAACTCGGCCGTTTCCAGGGTTTTCTTCGCCCACTCGCTCTTACGTTGATCCGCACTGACTACCAGCCTGGATCAAAGTTTGAAAAAAAAAATCTTACCTAGGAATTGTTGTTCAAGGACTGCCATCTTTTCCTCCAATTCTCTCTCCTTCTTACCCTTGAACAAGAAAATTGGGTAACTTTGACGTTTATGTAAAACGCATTTTGTTTTGGACTGAATGTTAAACCAAAGTAAGTAGCCATCGAGCACAAAGCCTTACTTCACACGAATTACTGATTTCTGCCTTCTAACAGAGTCACTCCCAGTATTTATCGTCCCGTGATTATTTTTATTGTTTTCGTTGAGAACATGTATCGAGCCAGGACCATTTAAAGTGCGCCGACCATAAGAACTCCGCAAAGGCGCTTAATACTCGATAAATCTAATTTGGGGTTTCGAGGAACGAAACAGATCAGGATGTAGATAATTAGGTGTGTTGGAAAATCAGCCGAATTAAATGTCACTTGTTCTTTTGCTTATGAATTGGAATGAAAAAAGATGAAACAAGGGTTTTAAATTCCACCGCCGCTGTGATTTGAGGCAATTGGACTTTTGAAAGCAGAATAAAAAGATAATGATGGAATAAAAAAATATTTAAACTCTCTTCATAACAAAATAATTACCAACTAACTTTCAGCCTTTTTCTGTTCATTTGGAATAGATGGGAAAAACTTTTCAAGGTTTTCCTTTAATGACGTTGATCAAAAGGAAACGCAATTGGTGCGTCATAGTCGAAGGGCATTTGCGCGCGCTTGGTTCTTCTCAAAATTGAGAAAAAAATGATGGAGAAGAACAAAGTCCTCAACGTTAAAAACTGGGCGAAACATTGTCAATCAGTCCGTTTAACTATCTATTGATTTGCCTGACAGTCTTCAAGTAGTGCAAAAATGAAAGAATAAATAAATAAAGACACCTACGTTTCTTGTCATCTTTCGTGCCCCGAATGATTCCTCAATCGGTTCAACACTATTCGTGGGAAGATCTTTGATCCATACATTGCCTTTAGAAAGGACGTCCAACGAGCTTGATGCTTGTTCATCATTCTCTCCTGTCATTTGTTTGAAAACGAAGTTTAGAACTTCAGATGAAGTTTTTGACATCCACGCAGTGCTCATGTTTCTCCCTCGCAGATATAGGCGTTTCTCTCGAAATTGCAAATGTTTCCAGTCTGATTAGTTGTTATGGTTACCCGCGGTAAACGGATTGCATCGTCATATAATTATTAATCACTTGGTGAAGGGAAGCGAGAGACCTGGGTCGCAGCAAAGATTTTTGTGGCCCAGAACTCCATTTGCTTTATTCTAAGTTAGCCTGATAAAATTATAATTAAAAGAAAACAATTCTTCAAAATAATCCTTGCACCAAGTTAATTACATTTTAAAATCAAACCAAAGATAAAAGCGATAGAGCGAAAATCGGAATTTGTATCTGCGTGTGTTATGATAAGAACAAATTGCGTTGAAAGTTTAAAAATTGGACCATTCCCAGTTAATTATCATGCCACATGTCGAGATTTCATTTCTGTAATTTTTAACTCCGGATATTGCGTTTCTAGTATTCTGATTTGTTCAATGAATTCCAGTTATTTAGCAAATAAACCTCTTCATGCGGCTGATAATGTCTGCGGGTGAGATATTGTCTGAAAAATGGCAAATGTAACCATGTTCTACCACGTTAACCCACATCTACCCTAGGTTAGCCATGTTCTACCACGTCAACCCACATCTACCCTAAGTTAACCATGTTCTACCACGTTAACCCACATCTACCCTAAGTTAACCATGTTCTACCACGTTAACCCACATCTACCCTAAGTTAACCATGTTCTACCACGTTAACCCACATCTACTCTGAGTTAAGCATGTTCTACCACGTTAACCCACATCTACTCTAAGTTAACCATGTTCTACCACGTTAACCCACATCTACCATAAGTTAACCATGTTCTACTACGTTAACCCACATCTACCCTAAGTTAACCATGTTCTACCACGTTAACCCACATCTACTCTAAGTTAGCCATGTTGTAACTAGTTAACCCACATCTACCCTAGGCTAGCCATGTTCTACCACGTTGACCAACATCTACTCTAAGTTAGCCATGTTCTACCACGTTAACCCACATCTACCCCAAGTTAACCATGTTCTACCACGTTAACCCACATCTACCCTAAGTTAACCATGTTCTACCACGTTAACCCACATCTACCCCAAGTTAGCCATGTTCTACCACGTTAACCCACATCTACCCTAAGTTAGCCATGTTCTACCACGTTAACCCACATCTACCCTAAGTTAACCATGTTGTCTACCACATTAACCCTTATCCATGTTCTACCACGTTAACCCCTAAGTTAGCCATGTTCTACCACGTTAACCCACATCTACCCCAAGTTAGCCATGTTCTACCACGTTAACCCACATCTACCCTAAGTTAGCCATGTTCTACCACGTTAACCCACATCTACCCTAAGTTTGCCATGTTCTACCACGTTAACCCACATCTACGCTATGTTAACCATGTTCTACCACGTTAACCCACATCTACCCTAAGTTATGTTCTATGTTCTACCTACGTTAACCCACATCACGTTAACCTAAGTTAACCCCATGTTCTACCACGTTAACATGTTCCACATCTACCCTAACGTTACCCCACATCATGTTCTACCACGTTAACCCACATCTACCCTAAGTTAGCCATGTTCTACCACGTTAACCCCCACATCTACCCTAAGTTAGCCATGTTTCTACCACGTTAACCATGTTCCACATCTACCACATCTACCCTAGGTTAGCCATGTTCTACCACGTTAACCCACATCTACCCTAGGTTAGCCATGTTCTACCACGTTAACCCACATCTACCCTAAGTTAGCCATGTTCTACCACGTTAACCCACATCTACCCTAAGTTAGCCATGTTCTACCACGTTAACCCACATCTACCCTAAGTTAACCATGTTCTACCACGTTAACCCACATCTACCCTAAGTTAACCATGTTCTACCACGTTAACCCACATCTACCCTAAGTTAACCATGTTCTACCACGTTAACCCACATCTACCCTAAGTTAACCATGTTCCTAGTACCACGTTAACCCACATCTACCCTAAGTTAACCATGTTCTACCACGTTAACCCCCACATCTACCCTAAGTTTTATTCTACCACGTTAACCCCATGTACCCTAAGTTAACCACGTTAACCCACATCTACCCTTTGTTAGGCATGTTGTACCTCGTTAACACACATCTACCCTAGGTTAGCCATGTTCTACCACGTTGACCCACATTTACCATAAGTTAGCCATGTTCTACCACGTTAACCCACATCTACTCTTTGTTAAGCATGTTTTACCACGTTCATCCACATCTACCCTAGGTTAGCCATGTTCTACCTCGTTAACCCACATCTACCCTAAGTTAAGCATGTTTTACCACGTTCACCCACGTCTACCCTTAGTTAGCCATGTTCCACCACGTTAACCCACATCTACCATAAGTTAGCCATGTTCTACCTCGTTATCTACTATGAGTTAGCCACGTTGTACCACGTTGACCCACATCTACCCTACGTTAACCAGGTCGAAAACGTACAGAGACAGGTACCAAATGTTAGAAAATGCCATGGGTGAGGCAAGTGCCAGTGTGGCAGTCGTAACTGCATTAATGAGGCAGAAGTTGTCGGCTGCCATAGATGGCAAGATTGACAATTACACGGACCGTCTGGTCGAAATGGCTGATTTTCAAGAGCTTGTGATAGATCAGAGGGCCTTGGTCTCCTACTCTCTCCTCGTTTTCGTATGCAAAATGGCATATATATACGAATATAAACTGTGGAACAAAGAAAGTTGGCTGCACTGGGATGGAAGCTATCGGTTCTATATTACGACACATCAGTTCTGATGTTTAGTGATTAGATTAATCCATTTGAAACAGAGCGAAAGTGATAGGTGCATGGATGGGAAGTTAAACCTTCAAGCTGAGCAAATAAAAATAACTGAAAACTAATAAATCAAAACAAAATCTTGCATTAATCCCGTTTAAATCGTGACTGTAAGTTAATTATGTGTCACGTTAGATGTTGTCTATTCAATTTAATGCAGATTCTTGAGAAGGTTGGTCTACCAGAACTGTTCATCCTCGTAGAGGAGAAAATTGAAAAGGTTGTCCTTCCGAGTTATGTGGAGGCCTCACGTGTCACTGAAACGTCTGTTCGGTTGCCGAAGGAAGTTAGTAGTGACACGGACAAAGCGTTGAAGAATTTCTTCGCGTCAATTACAACTTTCGACGTTCAGAACGTAAGTATTGATAATAGTTTCATGATCAGTTGTTATTTGTCCCAATTCATTATTCATACAAATATATATATATATATATATATATATATATATATATATTGTGTGCATTTTATTTATTTATTTTTTTGGATGTTGTAAAATCTGGCCGGCCATAATTATTATTTTGACTTCCTTGTCAGGTTGCTCCCTTTGTCAATAATAGGATAAAGCCCACTAGATGCGGCTGTGGGGAAGCAGTAGCTTTTAATGTGCCTTGCTTAGCTCGGCACATTAAGGTTACTGGCATCGACCCGGTAATTACCGATGCCAAAATACGGCATTTTATAACGTCGAAAGCGATTGGTTGCGTAGGCAAGTCGAACAAGTTTTGGAGCCGAACAACAAGCTCGACATCTGCCCACATAAGTAGGCGTTACCTTGATGCTGAAATTTTGGGTGGACTTGATAAAGGTAAAATTATACGATGCAAAAAAACTGATATGCTCTTTTAACAGTAGTTTTAATTTTACTTTGCCCATACCATTTTGCGCAAATAAGTGGGCATAAGTGAGAGAACCTAGAGTCCAAAAGAGTCTTGCATTCTTACAAAGTACAAATATATACTACACACGTTTTCAAAAACGTCGTAATTTGAAAATATATAGATATACCTTTCCTGTTCTCATTTAAAATGTGATAGACGATGCATGTATATTTCAAATCAAAGGAACAATACTTGAGGAACTAAAAGTGAACTGCCCTTATGGGCAATTGTTGTTTTTTCTACCAATTTATATCGGTTGTCAGCGTCTTTCGGAGGAGACTATAGCCTGTTTGAAGAGAATTGTGTTGCTTTGAAGACCTCTTTGATGTTTTTAAAATCTTTATGTAAAACAACCTTGACTGAACTATGACTGTCTATACACCACAACAAGTACAAAAGTACACAAGGCTTCTGTGATAATTCTGTTTTGCAAATGATTATTGTTTTATTTTCTTGTTTTCAGCTTTTTCATCACTGACTGCCAGTACATCATCTATAGTACGTACTAATGAATTGAATTAATTGATTTAAGTACAAGTGCTTTACCATGAAAACAATCAAACCAAACATGTTATCAGTGAAAGTCAACCATACAAATTTCACATCCAGTTCGATTTTTTTGTGTCTTCTAGATAATGATTTATTTGGAGTAAGAAACTATCAAAAAGGAAGCATTTAACAAAAGAATCTGATAAAATATTACTCAGAGATTGAAAATTCACTAAATGAGACAAAATACTTATTGAAGCTCCGTTTTCTAGATGATTCCCCAAGAGAAACAGACATAGGCGAGACAAGCTCATCTAGCGATGTTCAAGGCAAGTTACAATTTTTCCAGCATCCCGTATATTTCATGGCTTTTTTACGTTTTTTTATGTTGTCAAGCATGCTCGCCTGCATCGTCTATATGTGACAAAATCTTATATGCCCTTCCCCACGTTGAGACTTAAGAGAAAAACCAACGAGCAATCAGGTTATCAAGCAATCAGAGATTGAAATAATGCGATAAATCTCAGAATGTAATTTTTCAGTGCCACTTATTAGCCGTGTTATCTTTTCCTTAAGGTGATGTACCAACAGATGCTGACCAAGGTAATCTTAAGAATGTTGATGAACTCGATCTCCCCCGCCCTTTAGTATTTCAAGAACTCGTCAATTAAAATTTACCAGATTAAACATAAACAAAGAAACAACAAGAAAGCTGTTCACACGGTTGAAAAGCAAGGTTATCTCCATTATACTTGTGAAGATTTTCTGTCGGCACCTCGATTTCTAGATTGTTTACTTTGAACTGTTCTTTTTGGCTGTTACAAATCTCTCGAACTTTTTCAGACGCAATAATCGTGAGTGGTGCTGAAACAAGAGGTATTTTTTGCTATCGTACAACCATAAAATATGTTTACTTTTCTCTCCTTTCTTCTCTTATACTTGATTCATTTCCTGCAAAAAACGTGCATCTTAATTATGTTGGAAAAAAGGGTAGGAAACCATTTTTGTTATAGATTTGTTCTGAGGACTTATCAACGTGGATTTATCATCGCTGTTCTCAATGCTCAAACCTACATGAACGATGCGCAGTGTTATTTCCATGGCAGTATGCTAGCATCATGTTACGTTTTTGCAACTTAATAATGATATAAATTTATCGACTGTTGATAGGGAGTGGAGAACCCGGCGTCTTCAAAAGTTACAGGTAAAAATCCGCATATTTCACACGGAACCATGGAGGATGGAAACCTCCTGTTTTAATGTAATAATATTAGTCTGCCATTAGAGTGTGCCCAAAAGTTTCGAAAAGACATAAATGACTAGATTCCATTTTTCAGTGCGTATATACTCTAGTTACGCATAGAGGGCGTCCAAACGTAGATCGTTTGCTGGAAGTTTAACCTGTGCATGTCAATTACCAGTCGGTTTTGCATTTTAATCACTGCCTAGAGATTCTGTTGTTTGAACACCTGGAAATAGATTCTTCTTTATACGATCATAAAATATATATTTCTTCTTTTCTTACAGAAACAAGGACTGGTGGAAGACAAGTCTCAAAGACGAAAGAGCGAAAAGGTATGAAAAAAACCCTTTTAGTTTTCTCACAATTTTTTCGGTTGTCGCTTTACAATTTAGAATTAAAAACGCCGGTTCATGTGTAATTGGCAAAACGGTAAAACTTTGGTCACAGAGGTGAAGAGATGGATGTATTTGAAAGCGTGACTGTGGTTGATTGACGAAAAAACGTTTGAGATAAAAATTGCTCCTTTTCTGATAGATGGAAAAAAGTCCTAGAACCTGTGTGACATTTTCGTTGGACCTCTTATCTTTCAGTTCTCAGAATGTTTGTGCCATTATAGTTTGCCACGTGCAGTTCGAATGGTCGTAGGTGTAGGTTGTTTCAAAGGGCCTTGATTGTTTGGTAGTTCATACTTAAATTTATTTTCTCCGAGACTATAAGCGTGTAACAAAGATTAAACAAGTCCGGTATAATCTATGTTGTGAAATGTTATATTTTCCACTTCTGTCACAAACCTGTCTGTATCAGGAAGGGCGAAGGACAAGTTAAAAGATGCGCTTACTCCAGTTGAGGAGCTTACCGCGAAAAGAGTCCGCAGAAAGACCGCTATAAGGTACTTACCGAGCTAAAATACAGATGTAAATTAATACAAAATTATTCATTCTTTGTGAGCGTGCTGATTATTGAATCCCTTCTTGCAATGATTTACACTGATCAGTGAATTTCATTGGTCTTCAGTTGCTTATGGATAGATCCCAAGGGTTGAAATTTTAATTATAGGAGATTAATGGTGATTACCTCAATAGTACAGAGGCCTTCGTATCTTGGGTAACCTTGAATCGTAAATCATTAATCTTGCGTCTTGAATCTTACAGTCTAAATGTTGGTCATAGACATATCGGGTGTAAAGTTCTTGAGCCAATATACTAAATATCGAGGGGGGTGTTCTTGATAGTTCCCCAAAAGGAGATTCAGAAACAAGAATCTATTTCGATTGTCCTCACTCATCGCTGCACTATTTATTGATAGGGACTGAAGATACTGAAAAAGAGTGGAGGGAGAATTACTGGAGAAAGAAAAAGTGAAAAATTGCATGACTCAAAGGATTAAGCAGCATTTCTAATCAATGAATCTTTGCACCCGTTGGAAACGACCAGCACCGTACCTTGTTACGTCAACTCAACGACGCATTCCAGCACCCCTTAAGAAGTGAAGCTTAGTTCGTCACGAGATGTCAAAACTTGTAAAAACAAAGATTTGAGGAAAAGGGAAAACGATTTTCGAGTGTGTGCAAATATTTATAGAGTAGAGACATATGTTGGGCTTGCTTACACTTTTTAAACAACATTTTGGTGCATGAAAAGATAAAACAATCAAATTTCAAAAATATTAATGAATGCCTGCCATAATCAGTAATCTATAAAAGCTCCAAATATTATTGTGGAGTTTGAACTACTTTTCAGTTCGCGAACAGATACAATATCCAATTTAGTGTTGATCTTTTTTTGCAGATGAATTGGTCTATCTCTACAAACCAAAAAAAAATAGGTGTGAACACCAATAAGAAACTTTCTATTTAAATTTCCCGAACGAAAAAGTAGAATTATTCACCTCTGCTCTAAACCGACTGGAGGTAGATCCGAAAAGTTGTTCGCCAGAGATAGGAGTATCGGTTGTGAGAGAACCGATGGGTTCTTAGAAATGACGAATTTCAACGTCTAAATAAGTGTTGGTGTAGTTAAATCGAAATATATCTTAGAGTGCTTGACATTTGTCAGAAACGACTGGCCAAACCGGTGGATTTACTAGTGAATACGCCTCTAAATCTTTTTTTTTTTAGTGTTTACCCATATTTATTATAACGTACGGTACCGCCCGGAAAATGATCGATCTGATATACAGCTCTGATTAGTGACGAAATTTCCTTTATACAGATATAAAAACAAAACAAAAACAAAACAAAAGACAAAGAAAAGAAAAAAAAGGCTCTGGCCGGCCAGTTCCGCATTATAGTAGTCACCCTTAGTTACATAGTTTTTGGTATGAGCTCCCACTTTTAGTTGACCAATTTTGTGAGAGATGATCACAATGGGTTAACGTGGTAGAACATGGCTAACTTAGGGTAGATATGGGTTAACGTTGTAGAACATGGCTAACTTAGGGTAGATGTGGGTTAACGTGGTAGAACATGGTTAACTTAGGGTAGATGTGGGTTAACGTGGTAGAACATGGTTAACTTAGGGTAGACTGATGTGGGTTAACGTGGTAGAACATGGTTAACTTAGGGTAGATGTGGGTTAACGTGGTAGAACATGGCTAACTTATGATAGATGTGGGTTAACGTGGTAGAACATGGCAGGTAATTTAGTGTTAACAACTGGGTTGAAAACGTAAATTAGCCACCGTAAAGGGTAAAAAAGCTGAAGTTTCGAGCGTTAGCCTTTCGTCTATCGCTCTGACGAAGGGCTAACGCTCGAAACGTCAGCTTTTTTACCCTTTACGGTGGCTAATTTACGTTTTCAACCCAGTTGTTAACGCTAAATTACCTGTTATACTCTCCCACCGACGCAGCACCACAGTTTCTTTAGAAACTTACCCCTTTATTCATTTGTGGTAGAACATGGTTAACTTAGGGTAGATGTGGGTTAGCGTGGTAGAACATGGCTAACGTAGGGTAGATGTGGGTTAACGTGGTAGAACATGGTTAACTTAGGGTAGGTGTGGGTTAACGTGGTAGAACATGGTTAACTTAGGGTAGATGTGGGTTAACGTGGTAGAACATGGCTAACGTAGGGTAGATGTGGGTTAACGTGGTAGAACATGGTTAACTTAGGGTAGATGTGGGTTAACGTGGTAGAACATGGCTAACTTATGATAGATGTGGGTTAACGTGGTAGAACATGGCAGGTAATTTAGTGTTAACAACTGGGTTGAAAACGTAAATTAGCCACCGTAAAGGGTAAAAAGCTGAAGTTTCGAGCGTTAGCCCTTCGTCTATCGCTCTGACGAAGGGCTAACGCTCGAAACGTCAGCTTTTTACCCTTTACGGTGGCTAATTTACGTTTTCAACCCAGTTGTTAACGCTAAATTACCTGTTATACTCTCCCACCGACGCAGCACCACAGTTTCTTTAGAAACTTACCCCTTTATTCATTTGTGGTAGAACATGGTTAACTTAGGGTAGATGTGGGTTAGCGTGGTAGAACATGGCTAACGTAGGGTAGATGTGGGTTAACGTGGTAGAACATGGTTAACTTAGGGTAGGTGTGGGTTAACGTGGTAGAACATGGTTAACTTAGGGTAGATGTGGGTTAACGTGGTAGAACATGGCTAACGTAGGGTAGATGTGGGTTAACGTGGTAGAACATGGTTAACTTAGGGTAGATGTGGGTTAACGTGGTAGAACATGGCTAACTTATGATAGATGTGGGTTAACGTGGTAGAACATGGCAGGTAATTTAGTGTTAACAACTGGGTTGAAAACGTAAATTAGCCACCGTGAAGGGTAAAAAAGCTGAAGTTTCGAGCGTTAGCCCTTCGTCTATCGCTCTGACGAAGGGCTAACGCTCGAAACGTCAGCTTTTTTACCCTTTACGGTGGCTAATTTACGTTTTCAACCCAGTTGTTAACGCTAAATTACCTGTTATACTCTCCCACCGACGCAGCACCACAGTTTCTTTAGAAACTTACCCCTTTATTCATTTGTGGTAGAACATGGTTAACTTAGGGTAGATGTGGGTTAGCGTGGTAGAACATGGCTAACGTAGGGTAGATGTGGGTTAACGTGGTAGAACATGGTTAACTTAGGGTAGATGTGGGTTAACGTGGTAGAACATGGTTAACTTAGGGTAGATGTGGGTTAACGTGGTAGAACATGGTTAACTTAGGGTAGGTGTGGGTTAACGTGGTAGAACATGGTTAACTTAGGGTAGATGTGGGTTAACGTGGTAGAACATGGCTAACGTAGGGTAGATGTGGGTTAACGTGGTAGAACATGGTTAACTTAGGGTAGATGTGGGTTAACGTGGTAGAACATGGCTAACTTATGATAGATGTGGGTTAACGTGGTAGAACATGGCAGGTAATTTAGTGTGAACAACTGAGTTGGAAACGTAAATTGGCCACCATAAAGAGTTTAAAGGCTGACGTTTCGAGCGTCAGCCCTTCGCCGATCGCTCTGACGAAGGGCTAACGCTCGAAACGTCAGTTTTCAACCCAGTTGTTAACTCTAAATTACCTGTTATACTCTCCCACCGACGTAGCACCATAGTTTCTTTAGAAACTTACCCCTTTATTCATTTGTGGTAGAACATGGTTAACTTAGGGTAGATGTGGGTTAGCGTGGTAGAACATGGCTAACGTAGTGTAGATGTGGGTTAACGTGGTAGAACATGGTTAACTTAGGGTAGGTGTGGGTTAACGTGGTAGAACATGGTTAACTTAGGGTAGATGTGGGTTAACGTGGTAGAACATGGCTAACTTAGGGTAGATGTGGGTTAACGTGGTAGAACATGGCTAACTAGGACATATTGTAAGTTTTACATGAATCTTAAAGCATATATATTGTCAGCCATTTTGTCGTCTATATGGCATTCAGCCATGGCGTATATACCAATCACAGTTTTGAATGCGACTACATATACCCTCATATTTATAAAAGAAGGATATCACGTTAGGAAGTATAAGAGATACATAGATGATCCCAGTGTACCAGTACCTAAATCTACAAAGCTTGACCGCAGCAAGCGTTCAGCAACACGTTCCAACACCGCCATCTCGATTCCTTCAGTCAGTCGTTTCCACTGAACTTAAAGCAGTGGTGACAACAGAGTAGAGTGTGTCTTACAAAGGAGAAACATTTGTTCAAGAGACAGAAGTAACTATATGCGATTACAGAGGTGCGTTGGAACTCTAGTCCACAATTAGTTCCCAGGTAAAATGTCAGGCGGGATATAGGCGGGATCCCGGCAATCCCACCCAGGATCCCAGGTGGGAATGGCGGGATCCCGCCCTAGGTGGTGGGATCCCACCTTTCCCACCTGGGATGAAAATTTGATCCCAC